CGTGTTATTCAAAAAAAATTTTTTTTAATGAGTGTTCACAATTTTTTATTTCTACGAAACAAAGTGTACCTATTTTTCAGTGACATCTCTATATCAACAGCCTGGCATTCTATGGGTTTAAATATAAATTAATATTGTTTTCCAAGAAACAGCAAATTCAATAAAAGTTGGATACGTTTAATAGAGCTGCCTGAAAAATAACAATCTATAATACTGAGATTGATAAACCGAATAAAATTACAAATTGACATTCCTCTATTTTTGTACGCATTTAACACACACCCAAGAAGAAGGACTTCGTTTCCTCTGAAAGTTAGGTGACTGAATTTTGCGTATGGTTATTTCACCTTTATGTTATAGGTCAAAATAACCTAAAACATAAAAGTTAGGAGCTAGTGTTTAAAAATGGTCTCTACGACCATTTTTTAACTTTTTATGATAAGCCTCATATGATATTTTAAGTCTCATATGATATATAACCTCATATTACAAGACCTCATATATTGAACCTCATATTATAAGATTCCCTGTTCTAAACATACAGAGTGTCTTAAGTTAGACTAATGGTTATCAAAAATTAGTAATAGAGAAATAATTAAAAGTTTTTTTAAAAAAAAAGAAAGAAAGAAATGTAACGGCAAATATTTCCTTCCCAATTTTCTGCTCGAGTTTATTTTTTCTCTCGATAGATGGCGCTGTGGATAGTAGATAAAGAATAATAGCTAAAATTACATTACGACAGGTCATTACATCATGTGATTGAGGCTGATGGTCAATGTTTCAAGAAACTTGTAATAGAATTTTCACTCTTTAAAATGTTTTTCAAAAATGTGAATTTCAATTGTTTTTCTTTGTCTTACTCGCTTACTATCTGCGGGGACATTTTTCAAAACTGGAAATTAACTAAAGCAAAACCTCTGGATAAAAATCTAAACCTGTCACATGTATTTCCGTCAAGAATATATTTTTTACCTTAACGGATTTCTTGTCATAAATTTTTGAAAACCATCAATCTAATATAGGACACATTGCATTAACTTTTGATTTATAAGAAAAGGTTTGTAACAGTTCTAATATGCATAATACAATACAGATTAGAACTGCTACAAGCCATATTATAATCTGCATGTATATATTTATAAGAAACACTGATCTGAGAAAATTACATTTAATGGTTGCTTAGTTTGATGTCAATCATATGTGTCGAGAAAAAAAAATGGCTATATATTTCCAATTTATGTATAATATCTAATTTATATTAAACTTAATCACTTTATAAAATTTTATTGAATCTTAATGTGTAAAATTGAAACATTTCTGAACATTATACAGCAGTACTCCTTATTATTATCCAATTTACTAATCTACCAGTAAAATGTATTATTATTATTAAAAAGTAAAGCATTCCCACAGCAATTCATAGAAAGCCAGGAAGAGTCATGGAGGTTAAGGCTCCACAATTTCGAAACCAACCACATGATAGTAGCAATGTCGTCAGTATTGTGCACAAGCCACCTTAACTTCCAAAATAAGCTGGTATCCTGAAGTTGGGTGGGCATTAAGTTATCGTTGAGCATTGAATTCAGCCCCTTCCAATGACTGCTTTATGTCTTGAACAACTGAGACATCATGGAATATTACGTAATGTTATTCAGATTACTTTTATAACTTTTGCGAAGAATTTAGAATATTTTACAAGCTAAGAGTTGAAACTTTTTGATTATAAATTGTAGGTAGATGATGCACTTAAATTTATACAACAGAGTATTTCCATACTTATATACCAAGAAATTGTTTGCCGGAAACTCGTTTGATTATGAAACTCAAGTTTCTCTAGCTGTAATTAACCAGCCACTAAGCTAGCTCAGTGGCGATGCCTTGGTGTGTGGCTAGAAGACATTTTCAGTGTCGTTAGTGTGAATTTCGGAACTCAAACTTGAAACTCCTTTTTTTTTTTAGATTAGAGCTTTTTTTACTTGATTTTATTCTTTAAATTAGTATCTTTTGTTTCTATTTACTTTATATAGTGTATATGTTTTATTTCAATTATTTTAATAAAAGTGTTCATTTATTTTACTAGCTGCACACACAAGAATTATCTGTTTCTATACTTTTATAACCTTAATTAAGAAGTTCAAGCCTACCAAAAATCTGAAACATTTTTTTATAAAATTGTTGTGTGACAATAAACATACATTTAAATTCCTGTAAAAGAGTTATCTAACTGTTTCTATACTTTTGTACCCTTAATTAAGAAGTTTCTATTTTTCTAAGAACTTTTTGCTTATAAATTGGGTGATATAAATGTATTTAAATGTCTAGAACAGAATTCTGTAATTATACTTACTTAGATTACATTCAGTTGAGTTTGTCAAATTAATAATCTCTCTTAAACTGATCTAAATTTAATAACGCTAGTCTCATGGGACAATATATACTGCCTTCATAAGCACATTTTACTCTATTAATTTATAGTTGAGATATTCATTTTGTTCCAAAATATCACTAGTAAAATATTCTCAAAAAGAAAAAACATTATATTTTACCCTCCTAAAAAATATTATTTTCATAAGATTACGAATTTAAAATGTGCACATTAAAGATGTTTAGTGAAACTGAAATTTTATTTCAAATACTTAGGCCATCTCTTAAAGATATTTTAGATTTGATTTTTATGTCCAGAAGCGTGAAAAGCACTTTAATTTTACATTAGATATACTGTACTGTCTGTACTGCCTGGCAATTACGAGATGAGTCATCAACATCCCGAAAATCTACCTGACTGAAAGTGTATCTCGTGATTGACAGACTGTATCAGTATTTGCTTATATCATTCTGCACTCGAATGCAAAATTCCTCTTATTCTAAAATTTTGATATTTAGCTTGTACACATTTTATGCTTTTATTAAACTATAGTTAAAAAGAATTTATCCTTATTATTATTTCATTTAAGAGAATTATGGTGGGAAAAAATAGTAAATTACTTAAAATTTTTGTTGTATCTTTCAAAAAAATATTATTCATATATCATGAAACAAACTATTTACATTTTCAAATAAATGTCTACTAATTTTTTTGAGCTTTCTAAAAGATACAACTTATTATATGCTGATAAACATTTCATTTTAAGACATTCATAATAAATCCCTAAGCATTTGAAATGAAATTTGAATTGAATAAAAATAATATTTACTTCTTTATAAATGCATTATTAAATATATTGAAATATATTTTTTGCAAGAAAACCATATTTTCCTAAGGTACTAATAAGGCAAATTTTCACTCTCGAGAACGTGTTACTTCATTTTTTTATGTTTTAATTAGTTAACTATAAAAAAATTCACTAATTGGATCCATAATTAAAATTGCTCAAGTTAATTTGCTTTATGTTTTACTCGCAAATGTAGAACAAACTATATAACAATTAAAAATATAAAACTCATAAAGAAATGATTAAACACAAAAAAATTCCAATGTTCCAAAAACAATGATTAGGCATGTTTTCCATGTTGATGTTAAATATAAAGTTTAATGATATAAGAGTATCAAAAACACATGCGATATTCTGAAAGATATTATGAACAATTTATCTTGATAAGCTTATTAACTATAGTGTGAACAGGAAAAAACCAACTGGAATTTCATTTTTTCCGCTTTTTGCTCTAAATCTATAATAACGGAAAAGAAAGGAAAGAATTTCAGCACGTAGTGGTCAGACGCTAATTTGCAAATTTCTGTATTTAAATTTTTCGTTAACATAAAAAATAATAAGTTCAGTTCAAGAAAGCATTTTAAATTAAAGTAAAATGTATTAAGAAATTCTTTTCTGGCAGTTATGCATAAGTCATTGACTATTTATTACCCATATTATATAATATCTAGGAAAATAATAAATTTCTTTTCTTAAATATACATTTTCACATTAGTATGGTCATTTGTATTTATAATACAAGTCATTAAACGTAAATCTAGCCCGATGTTGATGTAACAAGTAGGATATTATGCAAATTTGTGTATACTATGCAATTTTCCATAAATGATCTTATGAACAAATGAAAACTGAATACCTTCAAACATCTCGAAAAACTTCCTCCAGTATAGTTATTGTATTTTTCTAACCATTGACTGTAAATAATCCGGATCAAATTACGGTAAAAAAGTACCGGCACTCAAGGTTCTGATACTTTTTATAGGCCTAATAGGGGACCCACAACAGATTTAGATAGTACTATTTATTTACCTTTTCAGTATTATACCCAAATTGTAACAACTGAATAAGTAATTTGGTTTTAACCACAAAACCTAATCATTACGTTTTTAAACACAGATCATTACAGAGCCAAGTTTCTGTGTGAGGATGACCGAGTATATTACTGACATAGCTTTTCTGGTGATCTTTGTGTTTACTGATCTCTAAATTATAAAGTGGTACTTAAAAAACTAGATTTAACAATGTAAATTTACTACCACTATTATAAATTATTTATGATAGTGGTAATAATGTTCCACTATTAAAATTAACTGGCAAATCTAAAAATAGTGTTCCACTACTAAAATAAATGTTCCACTATTATAAATTTATAAAAGCCGTGTAAACCTTTCTATAAAGAACTCTACTAAAATCTGACTTTCAAAGTCTTCCGTAAAAAGAAAGACTAAGCTAAAACTCGCACTGGATTATTTATGCAAAAGAACGGCATTTCATAGTAAAATTTTTTCCATTCATTGGTTAATTCTTAAAAAAAAACAATACTTAGAGTAGTTTAAAAAATAAAATAAAATCTTAACTCTGCAATTTGAGCCATGTCCACTTAATGAGGATTTAACCATCATTACAAAGTTGGGTAAGGTAATTTGTTCGATATTGAACCATAATATCACAACTTCCATGCGTATCTTTATTTCCCAAGTTAAATAAAAAAAATAATCAATGCTATAATGCTAATATTGTTACATGTATCATTTAAAAATCCTTCTACTAGCTCTAATTTTATTTCAGATTATGGGTGTGACCCTATTCCACCTTTACCTGGACCTGGAACATATAACATGACAGAGGAGAAATCATGCTGGAATCGCCCAAGGGAAGGTGCAATCGTGCACTACAGTTGCAATAATACGAAAACTTTACGCGGTCCCGATACTCTAATATGCAGAAATGGATCATGGGTACCACCATTTCCATCGGCCATCACTAGACCATATTGTAGTAAGTTCTCTAATGGAACATCTTTCGGCAATATGTAAAATTTGTATGAGATGGTTCAAGAAAAAAATTTAAACTATCTTAAACTATATAAATTCTCTCAAACAGAGTAGATAGAGGTTTACTCAACGATCAAAGACATTCTTTATGTATGAATACTGCTACATTTCTTTCATTAAATCAATCAGAGTTTAATAGCTGAATCAAATATTTTTTTTAAGAAAAAAATGAGTTTATTCAGAAAAAAATGAATAATTCGAAGTAACAAAAAGTATACTTTAAAAATTAAAAGCTCCTATAAAGTATCGGTATTTAACATTTTGCATCTTAGAGTCGTATCAATAAAATTGGAAAATTTCCCGAACTTCCCATCAATCAGATAATGCAGGCAAAGAATTCATTACTAAAAGGAAGGTAACAGTTAATTGTAACGTAAGTTACTAAGTTTTGTAGTTTTTTACATAGCTTTATGTTGCTAGGTTGAATAACACAGAGGCCAATGCCGGCAAATAAAGTATTTATTAAAACATAATATGCGGAAATAATATCTTGCACACGCAGTGCTATGCTAAAGGAATACATCCGAATCAACCAACAATCAGTCAGCTTCTTCAACAAATATATATATCGATTTCCCCTATCGGGAAGTCGTTGTACTACATTACGCAACTCGCGCAACTTACCTGAGAGGGAGAGGAAAAATGGGATTTTATTTGCATATCAACAACACTCCCCCTGCGAATAAATACATATTTTTTCCACAAAATATAAAACATAAATAAACTAATTTCTCATACAACTTAAACTTATTAACAATTAATCAATTAAATTTATTTGTGACACAGTTCAAGTTAGCTTGTCAAAAGTTACAGCTTAATTAGTTAGGAAATCCGCGATCATTTCGTCCGTTTGCGCATACTCTACTTTAAAAATTTTGATAATTATATCCTTTGCGTAATGAAGTTTCAAATTGATATGTCTCGTTCTAGAAGATGATTTTGCACTATTCAACCAATCAATTGCAGATTGATTGTCAGACGAAATGGTCCCAGGTTTCATTGCAAATATAGAACAATGCAATTCTTCTAATAAATTTAATATCCACATTAGTTCTTTACAAACACCACCTAAAGAAACAAGTTCCGTTTCACAAGTAGATAGAGCAACTGTTTTTTTGTTTATTGCTCTTCCGTAAAATTAAAGAATCACCTAACATTTCAATTTCTCCTGTAAATGATTTCCCATTTTCAGCATTTCCCCTGCTTGCATCGGCATGAGCATTCAAAAGTCCTGATTTGTTACTAAAAAATAATTTTTTATCCTTTGTACCATTGAGATATTTTAACACTCTTTTAACTAAATTAAAATATCGTTTCTCAGGTTTATGATTAAATTGAGATAAGTAGCTCATGACAAATGCTAAGTCTGGCCGTGTTCTGTTCGAGAGATATAAAAGTTCCCCTATTAATTCTTGATATTGTGTTTGGTTAACCATTTCATTTGAACAATTAAAACTCCTATCCTCACCTTTTAAAATTGGTATTTTTACACATTTAGAATCAAACATACCGTGTTTCTGCAATAAATAGTTTATATATTCAGTTTGAGACAAAGTTATGCCCTTTTCACTTTTATTTATTTTAATACCTAGGAATTTATTCTCTGTATTTTCCTTCACTTCAAATATCCGAGATAATTTTCCTACTATATCATTATACATTTCAAGTCTGAATAAATAACTATTAAGTCATCTGCGTATATTCCAAAATAAAACTATTTAGAATTCTCTATTCTAGTGAAAATACAATTATCGAAGCTAGCTGTTTTAAACCTAAGCTTTTCTAATTCCCGTTTAAGGTGTAAATGCCAATTTCGACCAGATTGGTGTAATCCATAAAGACTACGTTTTAACTTGCATACTTTATTTTCACCAAACAAATGTTCAAAACCTGGGGGAATAGCCATATATACAGTTTCTTCTAAATCACTATAAAGATAGGCAGTTTTTATATCCAAAAATTTTACTTCTAAATTTAATTTAGCAGATAATGCTAACAACAAACGCAAAGATTCGGTACTTAACACGGATGAATAAGACTCGAAATATTCGCGATTTTTTACTTGATTAAAACCTGCTGCTACTAACCTAGCTTTGTATTTACTTTCTTTCATAGTAAAAACCCATTTACTCTTAACTATTTTCACATTTTCAGGTTCATCAACTAGATCCCAAACATCGTGTCCGTGAATAGAATTTAATTCTTCATTCATTGCTTTTTCCCATTTTAACCAACTTTTATCACGTTTAGCTTCATCAAAATTGCCTGGAATATTAGTTACTAAGTTTGAACTTGCTTTTTCCTTTATTCTATCAGACCGACGTACACCTAGCTCTAGTAACCTGTTCTCGTCTTCAGTTATTCGTTGTTCATTAAATTCCCGAATTTTTTCTTTAGTTGCACCTACTGGACGACCGCGAGTTTTAGTTTCACTTAAATCTCGGCTATCTTTCAAATCCTGTGGAAATTCAAAACTTGTATTTTGGTCTTCTGCGTTAGTTTGGATATTAAAAAATTTATCGATGTCATTAGATTTATCCTCACCGAACAAATTACAACTACCTAATAATTTCTCATTAAATTTTACTGAACGCTCTTAGATTACTTTATTTCCTTCAAGGTCGTAAATACGATACGCTCGTCTTTCATTCGAATATCCCAACATAATACCCTTTTTACCTGGAATAGAAAGTTTGTGTCTTAAAGCTTTAGGAACGTGATAATATACTGTAGATCCAAAAGCACATAGATATTTATAGTTCTGCTTTTTATTTAAGAATAATTCTTTTGGAACTTCAGTTTTACCTTTTCGAGGAGTTAGGTTAGTAGCATGAGTTGCATAGGTCATTGCTTCAGCCCAAAATTTTAAACAAGTTTACTATCATAGATTAATGTTCTAGCTCTATCTAACAAAACTCTATTAGCTCATTCAGCTTTACCCAAACTTTCTGGGTTGTACAGCACAGATTTTTCATGTGTAACTCCGCAGTCAGTGAAATAAAACTCAAGATCTTTGTTTACAAACTCAAGACAATTATCACTACGAAATTTCTTAATTTTCTTATTTATTAAGTTTTCAAATTTCAGCTAAAAACTTACAACTTCATCATATACTTCGGTTTCGTTCTTAAGAAAATAAGTAAAATACATGCCAGAAAAATCATCTACTAATATTAAAAAATATCTTGAATTACCTAAAGACTTAACTGGGAATGGTCCACACAAATCACCATGTATTAATTCTAAAGTTGTTGAACTTTGAGGAGTTAAAATGCTAAAATGAGGTTTTCTTTTAATTTTAGAAATATCACATGATTCACAAGACAATTCAATATCAATTTTTACATTTAACACTTTAGACATTTTACGCATATAATCAGCATTCAAATGACACTATCTTTTATGCCAAATTACATTCATTTCAGCTTTATTTTTAACTTTGTGACACCCAAGCTTAACTTCTAATTTTTTATTCACACTCAAAGCTTTCAAAATTAAGCGTCCATTAGGAGCAATAATTAATTCTGAGTTTGAATGTTATTTAACATTATACCATTTATCCATTAGACATGCAACTGACAGTAAATTATGACGTAATTCTGGTACATACAATACATTACTAATTATAATGTTTGCATTATTACTTAGTGAAATAGCTTTAACAGTTCTGGTTCCTTTAGTATCCAATGTAAAAGTCTCGCCTGCCTGGTATATTTTGCTATCGCAAGCATCTATAGATTCGAACCAGCATTCATCCTTGCACATATGAGACGTGGCTCCGCTATCCAAGATCCAACATTCGTCCACTTGTCCATTCTGTTCAACTGAAACCAAGGCGAAATTTTCTGGAGTAGCACTATCGGATACCAATGTTTCTTGAAAATTTGGTTTTCGACGACCTTTTACTCTACTGGTCGATGGTTTGTAGCATCTATCTGTTCCCACTTCTTGATGTTTCGAATAACAATCCCTTGCTACATGTCCCGGTCGTCTACAGGCGTAGCAAATTTTCCTTGGTAAACTCTTCTTCTGAGTAGCATGCGCGGATTCCGAATTTCTTTGTCCACGAGATTTCTGTAGTAAATCTTTTTCTTCTTCCCTTAAAGCTTCGAGTATTTCTTCCAGTGACTCCTCTCGTTGAGTTTTTAAAACTTGTTTTCTGCGCTCATATTTTCTGACTAGACCTCTGACCGTGAAAAATACCAATTCTCTGTCAGATATTTTCAGTCCCAAGGAAGCACACTAAGTCGATAATCCTTCAGCTCGAGCTAAATAATCATTTACGACTTCTGAATCCAGCATTTCTAAGCTCTTAAGTTCGGCACCCGCATCAATCTTTCTATCTTCTTCAAGCCCAGGGTAGGTAGTTTTAATTCTTGTCCACGGTAGAAGAAGACATGATCACATGCTTTGGACAGGAGGCTGAGGATGATCCTTTTGGCATGTATGAAATTGAGTGTGTAATTAGAGACTTAAAAAGTGGCAAGGCTCCAGGNCCAAGATTCCGGGCACTTCGTGGAACCCACATGAATAATTGCGAAGAGGAACATCAATTCTTCGCTATATTGACCTGCAGGAAAATTGTGACTCAAATTATTAAACAAACCCTCGAGGACATTCTAGCCCCAGATCAACTGGCCCCAGTCATGAACCAACAATAGAGCATGTCATCGTTAATTTTTACTAATCAACTTTTAGCCTTACATTTTGAATTTTTATCTACTTTTGATTTTAGACTTCATAGACTTCTAGTCAGACTTTTACTTTTAGACATTTACTATTTGGACTTTTAGCTTTCATTGATTTTAGTTTTGAGAATTTTTTTTAATCTCTTGTTTCCTTATTATTATAATCATTTAATTCTCGACATTTACACCGGCGCTATTGGGTTTCATTGCCTTTAACACATGTTTTTAATTGTCAAACTTTATTGTTAATCCACTTTTAACTGATCACCACCACTGTCATTTGGCGAAATTTTACTGTAACTTTAGTTTTTAGAGAAATTTTATTGTAATAATTTTACTTTTATCTCCGTATACCCCCCTGGGGTGGGTCGGAGTTCAACCTTCTTAATTCTTGTCCACAGAGCTTTTGCATTCGTTTCTTCTGCATGTTGCAAAGCCTGTTCGTCTGATAGTGACAACTTCAAGTATGATACGGCATCTTGGTCAGTAGTTTCCCAAACTTGCAATTTACCAGGGTCAGTTGGAGCTTCCTCTGTCAATGCCAACATTAGTTTTTTCAAATTCCAAACTTCTTCCATTTTCATGCCCCAAAGATGATAATTAATTCCAGTCAACTTCGGAATTCCAAAAACTAAGTCTTTTTCCATGATTATCGTAAACCACGCTCTGCTACCAACTGTTGTTAGGTTGAATAACACAGAGGCCAATGCCGGCAAATAAAGTATTTTTTAAAACATAATATGCGGAAATAATATCTTGCACACACAGTGCTATGCTAAAGAAATACATTCGAATCAACCAACAATCAGTCAGCTTCTTCAACAAATATATATCGATTTCCCCTATCGGGAAGTCGTTGTATTACATTACGCAACTCGCGCAACTTACCTGAGAGGGAGAGGAAAAATGGGATTTTATTTGCATATCAACAACACTTTATATAGTTTAACATAATTGTGGCGTTATGTTAAAGAATGGAGCAAAATTAGTGAATAATCAATTCATTTATACATTTTAGTTAATGTCTAAAATGACAACACAATTTGATTATACGGATATACAAGATATCCGTATAATCTTGTATATCCGCATACAAGATATCCGTATATATACATTAAAGTTCCATGAAAAAAAATCAATATTTAAAAGGGAATATCATATCAGTCCTAATATAAAATCTTTCACTGTTTTTGCATAATTGTGTTTTCAATTCACAAAACATCTTCTAAATGCTGATCTGCCAAACGTGTTTTTATTCTCAATGTGCTTTGACGAATTAGTCGGTTTAGTATTTCATCATTCCACTTTTACAAAACAAGAGCATTAATTCCTTTCATCCAGTTATAATCTTGTTGTAGCCTTTCTTGTTATAATCTGAAATAACTATTCAAACTATTGTTTTAAACTAAATAATATAATTCAGCAAGAGAATTTAGAATTGGCTGAGCCATTAGTAGTCCACGTTGCACGTTAAGTTTACTTTAAAGTATAATTAGTTAAAATGTTTTATTTGTTTCAGAAAGAGCTCATTGATTCCATATATTGTTTTGTTTTTTTCAGACAACAGTCACAAATTGCATTGTGTATTTGGATGGATAAGTATTTTTCTTGTGATAGCCTTCAATTTACGTTTCAAACTTTAGGAAAAGAAATTATGAAGCTCTTGCTTGTGAAAGATTATAAGTGATTCAACAAATATTGCTTTCACGTTTGGAACTAAGAACGTTTAGCTTAGTAACTGACATTTAGATGGGATATGCAAGTAATGTTTCAATGGGCTGCAGAAATGAAATTATGTGGATTTCGATCTAAGAGAAGTTTAAATATACATTGTTCATTGCATTGATTTTATGATGTCAATCTAAAAATAAAAAGCAATAGAAATTACACTGATATTTAAACACTAAATATTTTTTAACAGATTCTGAGTTTCGTAAGTTAAACTAGAGATTTTTAAAAATTTATAACAAGAAGATGATTAAGGTTTAAAAAAACAATCCTTGCACCAAATTTATGTGAGTTATTTATTTATGTACCAAATTATGTATATTATTAATCTTCTGAGCTCTTATTTTTAGTTAAAAATTTTTTCAACAGACTAGCACTACTGCAAACTAAAGTAAAACAATTGAAAATTACGGCATAATTGCTTGAGAAATTTTTAATTAATGAATATCATACTATGATACTTTTAAAAAATCAACCGTTACATGTCAAAATTGGCTAGTTAGTTCAAATATATTTATTGTGATCGATGAGCCAGGTTTCATACTATATCACAACAGTATTTGACCACTAAACACCCACAAATGGTAAATATTTCACTTTGAATGGTGTTTTGGCGATTCATCGCTGTTCAGCCAACAAACATTAGAGCCAAATACACAATTAATGTTTAGTACTGTCTGAAATACTGTAGTTCCGCGTAAGTACTTGTACTTCATAATAGTATGATTTTTCGACAGTTCCTTTTTCAATGAATTTAATTTTTTTTAAAAATGTTTTTAATATTTTTTAAAGATTATGATAATTTTTCAATTGACTGAGTACATAACTTTCCTACAAAAGGAAAAAAATATAAAATATTAAGCCAATGACAAATAATGAGTGTTTTAAAGTTGACGTATTCAACCTACAAATTTCATCCTTGACTGCTAACTACAATTACACAACTAATTATTAATAACATGTACATAGTTCAATTTTTTAATATGTGGTTATGTTTATATTCTCATATATTGGTATTGAAAAGTTTCTAAATCAAAAATATTTCTGATGTAGGAATTATTATTGTAAGCAATGGAAAGTATTTATTCGTTATCCAAATGTATTTTTATTTCTACAGCCCTTCCTTAAAGTTGTTGATCAATTGTTGTACTACTAAGCTTGGTGAGCATTTCTGATATATCTTGTTATATAATACGCAATAAGATGTTTTGTCTACACAGAAAAAAATATCTTGACATACAATTTTGTATTTACTGCACATTGTTTTTATTTAAAATCTTAAATGCCAATTGTAAACACCCGAATTATAATTATTTCTTTCAAAATTATAATATATTAGTTTTTTTTATATAAAATAATTATCACAAATCTCCTTATGCATAAGAAATTTTTTTAGATTTTTATTCTTAAAATATAACTGATTTTAAAGTTTACAATTCCAGTGAAAAGTATGAAAATTTCGATATCAAGCAGTTTCAGTGTCAAACTTAGTTATTCAATATTTTGCTCATTTTTTAATATTTTATCTGTTTAAAAAAGGGACGATTTTCAGTGACATTTTTTTATCAAGCATAGCATTTTACATATTTGCTGTACTGCAAAAACATTAAATTTATTTTTTCTAGTAGCAGTTCTTTAAATAATTTACTATATTTTGAAATAAATGCTAACTAAATGCTGAATTTTTTTTAAAAGGAGACAAATATTGCTGTACAGAGAGCAAAATAGAAAATGGAACATCTTAAGTTTTATAATAACCACTTACGCAGGGCTAACTAAAAATGCTAATTGATTTGTTTTAAATTTAGAAATTACACGCAAAAGCTTACTTTCTCTGAATAAACATACCTTTTTATTTATTTATGTATATATATATATTAAGGTGAGTTGGGATAATGAATTTCAAAATGTTGGAGATAGACGCATTCTTGGAAATATGATTCCAAATAGTTTAGTCAGAAAAGCTATCAAAAACTTAGGCCCCCTGATTTTAATTTCACTTTATGCATATTTCGTCATGTCTCTGGAACTATTTATGCAAAACAAACAATTTCTGAGCATAATTATAAAACTTAAGTAATAAAAAGTATTGCTACATGAAAAATAATTTTCATAATCATTAGTTTGCTATTATTTATTTTAATAATAGTTAGGAAAGCAAATTTTTCCTCACATTTTAAGTATATTATTTTAGTTAACAGAATACAAAATTTGGGCGAATTTGACCAATTAGTTTTTCAAACAAGTCCTTTATTTTGATTTTCATTTCCATTTCATTTTATTTTTAACCTGATTTTGTTTTCAATTTCTTAGTTTAAAAATTGAATTTATATTACTTATATTAATTGAATTTATATTATTGACTGGATATTGCAGTTCAGGTCATACAAAGCTGCCCTACAATACACAGTTAATATAGAAAAGTATAAACTATTTTCAATTAAATTACTTTTTTTCAATATATTTAATATACACAAATCTACGGTAAATGATAATTTATTTTAAAAAGTAGTAAATTTTTTATTATAGTTTATTATTAATTTCCAAAAATTTTGGACATACTAAAATGCAACTAGTAAAAATTCTTGTTATGGACAGTTGACAGAAGGTTTTGCATTTTATGAAAATTTCGGTAAATCGTGGTAACCGTAAAAATCTTTTTTTTACCTTGTACTTAACCATTATATCAAAAAACTTGTTCACCCTGACTCAAAAGCATTTCAATCATAGTTCAAAATTTTAATGCATAACAAATTGAAAAAACATATATTTCATTACATTCCTTGGTTATTCACCTGATATATAAGTATATATAATATAATTGTTCAAGAATAATAAAATTAAAAATAAATTATTTCACTCTAATGACAAAAGGAAAAAAAATACGTTGGTGTTTAAAACACGTTTTAAGCCGACACTATTGAATATGGGCGCATCTAACTTTAAGATGATCATGAAATTAAGCAGCCGGACAATAGTGACTCGATACAGCATCTCTCCCAATGGATAATAACCCTAATTATTCTCGTGATTTGGCTCTCTGATAGGCACTCTATACACTACCATTTTGCTTTGAACGGTAATGAAAGATGGTATCATCATGCATGGCTTCACAGAAATATCCTCAATCAAAAAGATGGAACACTTCGTTCCACTTGATCATCCTCGGTACTATGAAAAAAGACAGCGATGGTGTCATCAACTCAATATTTCGAGGCAAACAGCTCGCTTTTTGGGTGACCACCTCAAATCTCTTCAACAGGAGGTGGGGAGAACTCTTACCATAACATGTGCCCTTATAAGCTTTTAGTAGTTGTACTATTCTATTATAAAACACGGTTGGAGCCAAAGCTTTGCTGAAAAACTCTTGTATTCGAAAAGAAAGGAAGGTCAGGATTGGATTCCAATTTCAGTCAACTTGACGTATTAACTGATAGGTTGTTAATGGAATAAATTATGATTGCTTAACAAGCTAAAAGCTGCATAGTGTACGTTTATTCTGAAAATTTAAAACTGGACTAAGAAAGAAGAAATACTGCACCATGTGAAAAAGCGACGAAAGTAAAATTTTTGCTAATTTCAATGCTTTATAGCTTATTTGTGATTAGTATTAATATTTTTTTAATTAGGTCTTTTTTTCTTTTTGTCAAACTTTGAAGGTCATGGGTGACTTAAAGACCTAAATATTTATGCTCCCAATTATTTTAAATAAAGGTGCCAAAGCACAACTTTTTTTTTTTTTTGCTGTCACTTTTCCGAAATATCTATTTTTCCAAAATAATTCGTATGGATAAAGATGTTTGTTTTTCAATCAAATTTAGGCTTAAAGGAAACATTTTCTTTGAGATTACAATAGAAGAAATAAAACTCAAATCTTTTTCATAACTATTCAACCAGAAATTATTACTTCATTAACTAGAAATCTGTCAAAGGTTATAAAACTAGTTCAACCAAGCAAAAGTTTTGATAGTTTTCAACTTTTTCCCCTTTCTCTAAGTAAATTTATATTAAAATTAAACTTTACACATTTGTATTGCTTCATTGTTTTTAATATTGAAACATCGTGTTTCAACTAGATAAAGGCCATAGCTAGGATACTTCATATATCAAAAAATACTTTGTGTGATTAATTATTTTTGAAAAGAGTGGAAATTTATGCCTTTTCATAATAAGAGCAGTACAGATTGTTAAGTATTCTTAGCACTTAATATGTATATGTTAGAAATTTAGTCAATAAGGAAGTTATTCGAATCATAATTCATCATGGTTAGCCTACTGATTTTAATGAAAAGATCTAAAATTAAGATATTTCTGAGAGTTTAAATAATCCCATTCCGTAATTCCTTTAGGATTAAAATTATTATTAATAAATTTTTGGAAAAACACTTTACGCTGTTTTTCAATTAAAAAAAGGAGTCTTGTAGAGAAAGGTCTAACTAAAAAAGTATTTTTGATGAACCAATTAACGTTTTAAAAAGCCTTTTAACAGCTTCCCTGATTGTAACGAGTTAAATCGGGTATGAATCTATTGCAACTATTTATTATCCCGAGTAAACTCGGGCATTCGTCAATACATTTTGTTTTATCACGTTTTTACTCTGCCGAAAGCAAAACAAAAAATAATGCTGTGATTGGAAGTTTTGTCGGTTTGAGGGACCGGGTTTTGTGCAATTGTATATACGGCGACGGTTGCTGAATTTGCATAGAAAAAAGAGAAAAAAAAATGGCGTTCGCGAGAGAAAGTAAAAGATGATTTTTCAGATTATGAAAATGTGAGCATATACTAATATTTAACTTTTTTCATTTGCCCGAGATAATTTGGGACAGTAAAATGATGGTAAATTAAAGACTTTATACACATAAAAAAATTAAAATTTCAACTTAGAACTTGTGTATTATGTTTTGTTTTATTTCCTTGTATTTATTAATGAAATAAAAAAATATGTTGATTTTTTGCATTTTTTTTTCTCAAAAAAATTGGTAAGGGAAACGCTTAATAAATAATAAAAAAAAAATTAAAAATAAACGTTTTGGACAAATTAGACAAATCAAGCCATGGTTATTGGACAGTTATATAAAAGGTTGTAATTCAATTACAGTATTGAAAATGCAAAATTCTCTCCGTTCTATTTCTCAGCACAATTCAAAAGGGATTGAAAAACCAC